TCATACTTTTTTTCTTAGGTATAATACAATTGGGAAATTGTATTTTAGTGAAACAGTGAAGAAATAATTTTATTTTTATGGTAGTATAAGTTTATTTATACGTTTGGTGTAGATCTTTTCTATGTGTCAAAGTTGTACAAAAAAATATATTTGTGGTGCAATTATTTTATAATTGTCTCATTTATTTGTTATTTTCTCTATATATTTTCTTATCTCACATATATCAAATAATTATCAAACTAAAGCCTTGAAATGGTCCAAGGGATATGGGAATAAAACTTTTAACCATTGATCCATCTGCTAAAACTTGAATGCATTACTTCTCATATGTTTTCAGTATTTTTGTGTATATATGAAAATGTTTTTCTGACAAATTATTAGGTTCGGCAAAGCCGCAAGACACTCAAATTTTAAATATTGATTGATAAGTATTTGATTTTTTTTTAACCATCGGTGGAAATGATAATTAAATATTTATCATTTAGGCTTGGTTTGGGAAGTGGGTTGGCTTTTTGGCTTTTTGGCTTTTTTGGCTATTTTAGCCTGGGCTTAAAAGCTTGGTTTGGGAAGGACTTTTTGGCTTTTTTGAGTTTTTTTGTGAGAGAAGAATGTAATAATTATGGGTTGGATGTGATGTTTTGTTTGTTATAGCTAAAATAGCCTATTTTGTTTTTTGTGGCTAAAATAGCCAAAAAAGCCTCCAACCTCACTTGCCAAACAGAGGCTTAGTTTGTGATATATATTGTTTTAGGGCAAATTACATATACACCCCTCCAGGTTTGACAAAATTACAGATACCCCCCTGAGGTTTGAGAAATTACAAATTTCCCCCTGAATGCTATATTTGCATAAGAAATTAGGGGGTAATTTGTTATGAAATATAAACCTCAGGGGGTAAATTGTTATGAAAATACAAACCTCAGGGGGCGGGATGTAATTTCCGAAACCTCAGGGGGGTATCTGTAATTTAACCAAACCTGGAGGGGTGTATATGTAATTTGCCCATTGTTGTATAGTCGATTCATGACTTTGTTCGGTATAGTTGCTTTACAACAGATATGGTCAGATTAACTCTTTTATGCAACAGATAATTTTAAAAAATATACAACTACATTACTTAGTTATCAATTATACATATTCTTTGATACTGTTACCTCGCAACTCGCAACTGATACAAATAGTGTCTTGATTTCTCATAACTAAGACTTCATTTGGAAAGTTGGATTTTTTAACTTTTTTAACCTAAGTTAAAAAGTTCGTTTGGGTTTGATTTTTTTGATTTTTTTTATTTTTATGAGAGAAAAAATAAATTGATTGTGATTTTGATGTGATATTTTTTTATTGATTTTTTAATCTATTTAATTATTATTTTTTTTTTTGACTAATTTAATTAAAAAAACCAACTAAACTTAATTGCCAAAGGACAGCTGAGTAGATTTGAGGTGATGTACTCATATTCTCCAACATTTTATAGCCAATCATATCATTGTTGTGAAAGATCCCAGCAGGATTTTGTGTGTCCTTAGTGTTTGTATATTAATTATTTTTTCTTGGTATCAGGGTCATATCACAATCTAATCTTATCATCATGGATTCATGTAGTCTACTTTGATTAATAAACTCATAAAGCCTCCGTTTGGGAAGTGGGTTGACTTTTTGGTTTTTTGGCTTTTTTGGTTATTTTAGCCTGAGCTTAAAAGCTTGGTTTGGGAAGGACTTTTTGACTTTTTGACTTTTTTGAGTTTTTTTGTGAGAGAAGAATGTAATGATTATGGGTTGGATGTGATGTTTTGTTTGTTATGGCTAAAATAGCCTATTTTATTTTTTGTGACTAAAATAGCCAAAAAAACCTGCAAATCCACTTGCCAAACACAGGCAAAGTCACCTCACCATTGTTTAGAGCATGTTCTAATAGACCAAAAAAAAGTTTCGAATAGCCCATTACATTTAGATATTTTTCATGATATGTTTCAATTGTTTTTGTGTATATGGAATAATTTTATTGGTCAATCATCACATTCGGCAAAGTTTAAAAAAATCTAAATTTTAAATATTGATTAATACATATTACTTTTTTACGTTTCAATAATGATTGCTTTCAGATGTATCAATGAAATAAAAATTACATACATATGAAGTACTTGTTTGGCACATGCTAAAATGGCAAATGCTATTTTAACACATTATTCTATTTGGGTTACAATCATTTTATTTGGGTCATATCACTTCTCTACCACATTACTTCAAACCCAACTTATATTTCATATTTTTTCGTAAAAAGTCAAAAAATATACTAATCTGGCACTTCCCAAACAATCCCTGACTTATTCACTATACGTATTGATTCATAATTGATTCATAACTCAATTTACAATTGATGTAGCCAAGACGACCAACTTTGTTATTTTTCACTGTAGATGATTTAAAAAAATATATAATTAAAAATTCCTGAGCTTATTACTTGATTTCAAATTTTATATATTGCTTAATACTATGGATATCACTACATTACAGTTGTAACTGATTTGTTCCCGATATTGCTATTTGAAACCTTATTGAAGACAATGAGTTAAGAGTGACAAGTGAAAAATGTCATACCTAATCAATAAGAATGATGAAGTAAATTATCTAAACCCGCTCCAAGATTTTCTTCGGTACAATACTAGTTGTGTTGGGTACCATACCCTAGAACCATTACCAGTTGTCAGATCCGGATAAGAAAAAAATTGAGTTGCTAATTGATGATTGATGATGAGTAAAATCGGATCGCAAAAAAATAAAAATGAGGTGGGACTCTAGAAAATTAGTGATTCTTGAATCATACTTATCACTGAAAATGATCACATTTCGCTATAATAGGAGTCTCAAATTGATTTTATACCTGAACAAAAAATGAGATCTACTCACCATTGAAATTGACAATGAATTGACAATTTTTTTCAAGCATTTACTAAGTTTATTTGCACAAGTAAGCTAACATGGGACAACTGATTAAATTATATAATGAAATTTCACTGTCTTTACACGAAAGGAAACAAGAAGAGAGATGGAGAACCTTGGGTAGTATATTCCTAAGATGTAAGAAAATGTTTTTGACCTAGCATATAGCAAGATTAATTGAATAAGGAGCAACATTGGATTTGCCAATATTTGATTGAGTCATTTGGAGGAACCACAGAGTGACAAGTGTCACTTAACATGCAATAAATCAATAAATAAATGGATTTGGGAGTTGGTGTGTTTAATGGATTTTGCTTCCACAAAGGGGACTAACATGTAAACATCTAGGGTTCTAATTGATGACGTATGCTATTACGAATGTAAACGGTTTTGCTGTTTTGTTCTTTCTTATTGTCATTTTCCTTAACACATATTTTTAGTTCTGTTTTTATTTTTGTTTTGGGACCTATTGCATGGTGCTGCTGAGTTTTGAAATTGTTGGACCAAGTCTAACCAGATCATATACTGTATGTTATTTGGAAAATACTATAAATTATTAATAAATTTTACGAAAAATGCTTGAGACCTCTAAATTGTGAGCTTTAGAAGAGCTCTAACCTGTGGGCCCCACTGTATGATTTGACGCTTTTGCCTTTGTTTTGTTTTTTTATTTATTTTTTTTAAGTTGCCATGTCACTAGTGTTCTTATTAGAGCTCTATTATTAGAGCTCTTAATCACCGCCCTAAATTTTACAACTTTGTGATCAATTTTATATAATAATGTGGTTTCCAAGTCCCTGTAAAATAAAAGGGCATATTACATAAGTAGTTTAGGTAGTTTGTCTCTGTCAATTTCATCTTGTACTTTCATCTTTTTGGCCACCCTAACTCTCAATCCCTTCCCTTCTTTCTCTTCCTGCAACCTCCAAAACCCACAACTTTCTCTGTCGCTACTACTACCACTCTGAAACACAGGAACAAAGGGACGGGAGGGCCAAGCGTGGCCATGGCCTTAGGATTCGTTTGAGAATTGACTATTTTAATTGATTTTTTATAAAAAGACGTGTAAAAAAATAAAGAGAGTGATATAACAACTTATAGTGACCTTTTGACTTTTTAACTAAAATTTTATCATTCCTAAAAAGGCCCAAGGATTAAAAAAATTATTGATATAAATCTATTGTTATGTATTTTCTTTTTTTCTAATCTTTTCATAATGCTTATGCAAGAATTTATCATTCTCGAAACTTAACTTTTTAAAAATTTGGGAAATTACAAGTCAGTTGTTTTTAGAAAAAAAACATTTATAGATATATTGAAAATTTTATGATTTTAATTATTAATATTTATAAAATTTACACCGAATTGTAATCCCCCCTTCAAATTTACTTTTTCTTAAATGTTTTTGTTTATCAATTATCATTTTGAAAAAAAAAAATTACACTGAATTGTAATTCCCCCATCAAATTTACTTTTTCTTAAATTTTTTTGTTTATCAATTATCATTTTGGCATCCCTTACACAACATTTCTGGCTTCGTCCATACTGATATATATATATATATATATGTACATATCAATTTTTATATGTAGGAGAGGAAGTTGGTTTCTTGTGAGTGAGTTAATTTGTTGAGGAGATGCTCCTTGTGGTGAATCTAAAATTTTCCCATGAAAAATACACAAACAATTTCTACCAAAAATCCTAGTATGTGTCATCGAATGGACCAATTAGAGACAAAATCCAAATATCAAGAGAAAAGTTGATACAATTGGTATTACATAGACCAAATTAACACAAACAACGAAGTATAGAGACCACTAGTTTAATTTACCATAAAAAAAAAATATTAAAATCCACTTGACATTTTTCATGCATGAATTTTTTTGTTGGTTGGGATGCCATTCAGCTCAATGAGTTTATGGGATGGAATTGCTTCATCAATTGTTATAATACGCTAGTAAAAAAAATTAAAAATTAAAAAACTTCCATATTAATTAAACACATACTAGCTTTCATTTGCACAAATAAAAACAAACTTTAAGCAAATAGTTTTCTTGTATATCTCACAGTAATATATCTAACTACATCTATTTTCCTTTCTACAAATCTCAGTTCCTCTTAATCTCTTTCTAGGAACAGAAAGAACTAATAGACAAGAAAATAAATGAAAAACACAGGGCAAATATCTAACACCATCATAAAGTTGTTTTAAAGCGTCATCGCGCATTTTCAAGAACACTTAGAATGCTTTCATTTCATTCATACACAGTTAGCAAGATAACAGATTTGGAAAATGCTTGAATCCTCCATGCTATCAGTTGGTACTGCGTGCAGCCTCTTGTTATTACTTGGTGAGAATGGAAATTCTTCGCCAAAAGACACGACAGAGATCGATCTTTTGAGGGATTTGAAAACATCTTTGATTGGCGAAACCGATTCTTCATTTGCGTACTGAGAACTTCCATCTGTGCTTGAAGACATGGATGGTCCTCCTTGAAAGTTTAAGTACCATTGTGCTTGTGCTTGTTCTTGTTCTTGATCATTTAGTCCTGTTCTCGCTTTGGGCGATTGGAGATGAGTTTTGATTTCGTTGCCAGAGTCTATTGAGTGTATTGTGTTTTTGTTATGTGGATCATTCAAGAATGGGAAATTGAGTCCAGGGATGGAATTGAAACTGCTTTCTTCTGAGAATTCTGGGATTTGTTGTGGGATGTTGTTTTTTTGGCGTACTCGGCATAGTACCCAATCATCCAACTGAAAAATACAATGGAGAAACTGTTAATTACTACAAGTCTAAAATAGAGCATCTCACAAGAAAGAACAATTTGTGATTAAAATTGAAAATCTTAACTAGATTTGTTAAGTGTTTTCATAGTTGTACTAAAAACTAACATGATTGGCAACAATGCTACGTACTCAGAAAAATATTTTTAAATGTGTAGATCAAACTCATTATTGTGACCGAGTTTAAAAGCACACTGCAAATCCAATTAGATACTTTATGTTTTTTTGGGGCAAATTGCATTCGTGTCCATTGAATTTGCCTCTTATATCAATTTAGTTATTTTAGTTTTAATTGCTTCAAGTTTACTATTGAATTTTTTATATTGTATCAATTTAAACAAAATAGAGTAAAATGAAATAAAATAGTCCATTCGAGTGGTTAACGTCAAAAAAGTCAACTCAAAATGATTCATTCTCTTTTGAATTGACCATTCACACGCGATTCTTATCCTCTGTTTCAAATCACCTTTCTATCACGCAACGAACCAATCATATTTTGAAATATGACATAGAAGTAATGAAAAACAGGGGAGATGAAAACAGAGTGGATTCAAAAGCTAAAGCACTTATGATTGCAGAAACAGAAAAAAGAGCAGAAGCTTTTGTCAATGGTGGCTTACCCGCATCGATCCCCTGAGTCTCGGGAGCGAATGGGAATCTTCGAGAAGTCTGTACTCATGCATCACCCAATCAGTCTTCACGCCCTTTGGAGGACGGCCTTGATAGAAGACCAGAGCCTTTTTCACACCAATACACTGCAACCCACCCGAGTTTAGGATCGGTTTGTCAGTACCAGTTGCTTTCCAGTACCCAGCTCCAGCTGTCCTGTTTGGACGAGCTCCGTTTGGATACTTCCTATCTCTCGGTGTGAAGAAAAACCACTCGTTACTGCCAAACAGAGCCTTGCCTGTAGAAATTCAGACAACTATTATAAGCAAATTGAATGGAAAAAAAAAATGTTTAAATAGATGTTCAACTGATCAGTTAAGAAACTCTGTTCCCAAATTTCTCGCTTCAAAAGAAAATAATTGTTTTTAAAAAAAAATTGTACGCCAACCTGCCAATCACTTTGAAGATAGTGAATTGACTGTTTTATCCCTTGATATCGGTTCAATTTTTAAACGGCGTGCTATCAATTGAATAAAGTTGACACAATGTGAAAAATTCAAGAGAAAATTTGATATAGAGTCGAATTACAAAGATCAAATCGACACAAGATGCATACTACAAAGATTACGAGTTTGGTTTACCTTATAATTTAAGAGCAATTTAAAACAGAAAGATAAGGAGATTTCAAAACAGAGGATCCTCCCGAGCCTCAAAAGACAAGAACCCATTATTATTTGCATCTTTCTCTTGCAAATACAAGCACAAACAACACCAACCAACATATGCATCACCACATATGAAAAGAGATGATAAAGAAATTGAAAATACCAGGAAGCTCCCATGGATTGAACTTGTAGAGATCAATATCAGCTATGATAGAGAACAGAGGACTAGTAGGTGATGAGACCTTTTTCTTCAGATAATAGACGATGAGCTCTTCGTCAGTGGGATGAAATCTAAAGCCTGGTGGGAGATGTGGACTACACATTCTAATCTGACCTCTGATTGGACAATTACTCAAGGAATTTTGAGACTCTGTTTCCCAAGTTGTGGGATAAGCTATTGTCTTAGTGATCCTGAAAACCATGGTGTCTCTTTTTATAAAGGCTAACAAGCAATGGGTTGAGAAATTTTTGTTGTGTGTTGGAGAGACCACCCATCACTTTCTATATAATATTTGGTACAACAGGCCATGATATTCCAACATGACCTTTTGTGTTTGATTTGCTCAATATTTTTATGAATATTATATCCACATAATCAAATGGCAAATTAGGCCCTATAGTTTTATGTCAATTTGGTTTTTGTTTTTGTTTTTGTTATTTTATTATTTGCCAATTGGTAAGAAATTTATAAGTATAAGAAGAGAATTACATCAAATGGAAAATCATAGTCCAACTACTAAACTAACCCAACAGCTCAATATTAACCACCAACATAAGAACAAGTCCATAATGAGAGGAAATAAATCCAATACAACAAAGCCTCAATAGGGGGAGAAATAATCAATCTTGCCTTTGATAATGATTGACTCCCTGACATTTAGTTAGGAGAATACATGAGTAGCTAACCCGATGCTGAAGGACTGAACTAGCTTAGTTGGTTCAATATGGCTATTGTAGTTTTAATTGTATCAATATATATTTAAATTTGGCACATTACGTCAATTTAGTCCAATTGAAAACAATTTTAAAAATTGAATTGAAATCAACTGATGAAATTGTCAATTCACCATTCTCAAAGCAATCGAATGATTGTTTGATATCCAATTTGAAATGGCTCACTGAAGCCCACTGATTGTTGTTGTGTTTCGAATTCAGCTTGGATTATGCTTATTATCCATTGGCGTATGATCGGTTATTTATATTTGGATCTATTTTAATATGATTTTATTAGTTTCAAATTCGTGCATATGTTGGATTGTTTCAAGGTTTTAGGTTATGATGATTTTATGAGATTCTATAAAAGGGTTGTTGAGAGTGAGAGCCGGCTCATTGTAATATCTATATTTATGGTGAAATTTCTTCGTCATTCTTCATGCATGACCGTAAACTGAATCAAGCAAATTCTTACATTCTTGACTGTTTGTTATGTTTTAACTCTTCTCAATTTTACATTTGGTATGACAAGAATCTTGAAAAATTCATGTATCAACCGCTTTGAAGTAAATTCTTTTGCTTTCTTATTCAAACATTGATCTATTTGATTTAATTCGAAATAAATTTTTCTTAAAATATAAATTAATTTAACAAAAAAAATATTAAAAAGATATTTTTGAAATTAAAAAAAAAAATTGTTGTAAAGAAAGGTAAAACCATGGGAGGATGATGAGTGTTTTTTTATATTTATTAGGATTAATTACCTAAAAGTCCTAGCTACATATTTAGTAGTAGTTTAGGTCCTGTCAAAAAGTTTTTTAACCAACAAGTCCCATTTACAGGTAAAAAGACGTTTTGCCCTTTAACCTAAACAAGTGTATATATAATAGCATTGCTGTTAAACTAGATCAACACCAAAACTGAGAATATTCTCAATTTCAAAATAGAGAATGATTTCAGTGTATAATTATCAAAACTAAGAAATTTTTCAATTTTTTTCTAGTATGAATTGAGAATATTATTAGTTTTAAAATTGAGAATATTGTAAACTGAGAATATTCTCAATTTCAAAACAGAGAATGATTTCAGTTTATAATTATCAAAACTAAGAAATTTCTTAAATTTTTTTTCTAATATTAACTGAGAATATTATCAATTTCGAGAAATTTCTCAAATTTTTCATGATTAAAATTGAGAATATTATCAATCTACTCTCTCTCTTACATTTACCTTCTCCTTCTCCATCTACACTTTTCAGATCTGAAAATCTCCTAATCTAGTTCTAGATCTAGTATTTTAGACAACAAGTTTGAAATACCTTGTCTCCGACGAGAACGGTTTTCAAAACAACATCAACGAGTCGTCACATTCACACCATCAGCAAAACACTTTTGGTCATTCTGTTAATAATATCATCATCGACGATGACGACCATCATCAAGCAGACAAAGAAGAAGATGATGATGATCAAGTAGTAGAATGCCCTGTCAGAAATAATGTTGTTGTAAAAACTCCAAGTTTGAGGTAGCGGCGTACAAGAGAACGGCAACGACGTTTCCGTCTTTGCAAGAGACGAATGATTGTGAGCTATGGTGGTTGAAAACTTTCTCTTCTATGGAGTTTTGAGAGAGAGAGATAGATAGATAGAGAGATAGAGAGAAAGAAAGAGAGAAAGAGAGAGTATGTTTGGTTGTTGTCATTAGGGAGTGGGTGTAAAAGTAAGAGAGAGACAATGAAGAGAGCAATTGTTGGTAGCAATGAAGGAGGTATTGGAAGGGTAAATTGGTTTATTAAAAATTAATAAGACTTGAAGGAGCAAATAATTTTATTTAGGACTTAATGGATTATAAGTTCATAAAATAGGACTTGTATGTAAATGCCCCTATTTATTATTATTATTATTTTTTCACTAAATTAATTTTAATTTAAAAAATAAAATCAAACAAATTTTGAAAATCAAACCAAGCATAGCCACATGTGGTCTAAATTCAAACTTAGCGTCATATCATTCGCATTAAGAATAAACTAGCCTATCACCCGTGCTATGCACGGGATAATTATAGATATTTATATTTGTGTTAGATTTTTTTTAATATATAAATTATGTTTTTTAAGATTTTTTATAAAAATAATTTAACAATCTTATCACTAACCATAGTGTATGAGAGAAATTGAAAAGGGTACTGCAGTAACTATACACGGGTTGTATCTATAATTATTTGTATGAGGAGATTTTAAATGCTAATCAAGAGATTTTGACCAAATCAATAAATGCAGGCATGTGGAAAGACATGTGGATTGAAAAAAGTTAATAAATGCTGATCAGGAAATTTTGACCAAATCAATAAATGCTGAGTTTTTTTTTTTTTTTAATAAAAAATTTAGAAAATTTAGATTGGGATATTGGAGCTCCCACAGGCCTTGGGAATAAAAACCCCATTTTACTTAATACATAGTATACATTTGATTTAAACACTATATTTTTTATAACTTTTGTAAGTAATTTTTCCAGATTCCAAAACATTGTTTCAAAGGAGTTAGAAAATTATTCAGGTTCATGGAACCCATTATAGATCTCGTTTTGATGAGAACCGTTGATTACCTTTATTGTACATTATCTATAAAAGAAATTAAATCAATTCTATAAAAAAAGATAATTATTTTTAAAAATACACTTACATTTTCATATTTTTACAATTATTATTGTTATTATTATTTCTCACTAATTCGAAAATTACGCTAATTATTTTGGGCAAATTACCCACAAGTTCTTTCTGAAAAGTGTGTATTTTATTTAATCCCAAAACCTTTTAGATAGACCAAAAAGTTCAATGCCTATTTATCTTCTTCTCTTTTTTTGTACCTTACTTCTTCTCTTTATCTCTTTTCTATACTATTAGTGACGACACGACTACGCCTTCATTTTTTTCTTTGTCTTTCTAATCTACAGTCACTAGTGACCATTATTGATTGGGGTTCACCGGCAACCACCAAGCACCAACTCCTTACTTCGCGTTCACCGACGATGAAGGAGATGAGTTTTCAACAAAGAAGATGAGTAGATCTACTCAAATCTGATGTAGATCTACTCAAATTTACATACGATTTAAGTAGATTTACGTCAAATCCGGCTAGATCTAAATAAAAAATAATTATCGGAGTACAAGCCTCTCTCTCTCTATATCTATCTCTTTTCTTCGATCTTTTAGTTTTTTTACTTTTTCTATACTATATAATTCTATTTTCCTGTTATAATAAAGAAAATTTTCAAATTCTAAATAAGTTTTCGAGTTTTAGTTACAAGCAGTGAAAACTATAAAATTTTACAGCTTCAGTTTTTTTTTAGTGAAATGAATCATTCTTTAGAACTACAGTTCCATAACATGTTTTTCAGTTTGATTAATAAGAATGAATGCTTAATCAGTTTCAAAACTTGTTTTTCAATTTGATCAATATTGGAGATTATTTGCTTAAATCCTACCAAAATTGAAAATATCATTTTTTTTTCCCCATTGTTGCTGTTTGTTGTTCTTAAGTTTTTTTCTTATTTCAGTTTATCAATATTTAATACATTTGCTATGTTTTTTCGCTTTAATTTCTCAATTTATTCTTTTTTTTCCGAGCAATATTCTGGATATTCCAGTGAGTTTCTGGCTCTTGATATCCAACGAACATTCTAGACATTCCAATAACTTCCAATGACGTTTAGAACGGTTCAGCGATACTCCGGTGAGTTTCTGATGATATTCTGCGACTTCCCGGTGATGTTGAATATTCCGGTGAGTCTCCGACAACGTCTTTAAATTTTAAAAAAATAAAAAAATAATAACAATTAAAAATATATAAGTGGTACAAGTATTTTGTTTTGAGATTAGATAGGTTTTAAATTTTGTGTAAATGACTTATCATTAAAAGTTTTGGGTGATGCACCAATAAATCCCAAATTAACAACTTATACACTGTTTAGTCCTAAAAGTTTTCTTATAGACTGAAAGGTCCTATTATAGGAAAATTGACCATAAAGGGCATATACATCAAACATCATTATCATCAAAACAACATCATCATCATCAAAACAACATCAAACATCACAACATCATTATCAAAACAACATCAAACATCATCATCAAAATAACATCAAACATCACAAACATCATCATCAAAACAACATCAAACATCACAATATCATCATCAACATCAAACGTCATCACATCATCAACAACACAACATCAAAACATCAAACATCACAACAACATGTCACTTTATCCAAATCCAACCATAATTACCCCATAAATGCTTCACTTTTTTATCCAAATCTTGCCAACAGCAGGCCTCATAATCAAATAAACCTACACTGCCCATCTCTTCCTTTCAACAAATCCACCTATGGCTTTGTTAAATCTGGGTTCAAAATCTCCAACCATGTCCACTTACTTGGTTCTTCTTCAAAACCCACTTCTCAGATCTCTCATCGAACCACATATTTCAATCAAATCTGTGGACACCCATTTGAGTTTTCTTTCAAACCCACCCCACAAATCCTCAGAGTAGCCTCTGGGACCCCACAAGAAGCCAACCCAGATGGAGAAATTGAGGTTTCAAATCCAAACAAAACCCTCTAACTAGCTATTGTTTTTGGTCTCTAGTACTTCCAAAACATTGTGTTCAACATCTATAACAAAAAGGTTTTGAACATCTTTCTATTTCCATGGCTTCTTGCCTCATTTTAGCTCTTTGTTGGGTCTGTTTGATCGTCCTCTGCGAAGAAAACAGAATGAATGGAACAAATAGAGAGGAAAAGGAAGAAGTAATCGTCTTCTTCAAGGTCGCTGCCGGAATCGACGGGATCGAACTCGGAGACGGTGGAATCGGCGGCGGGAGGAGGAACCTAAAGAGACTCGCTTTCGATGATGTGAGAAGTGCGAGATCGGACGCCGAGGAAGTTAGGGTTAGAAACAACGCCGAAAGCTTTGTAGTTGTCGAGAACACTGCCTTGGTCGTCCCATTTGGGATCAGAGGAATCGATCATGGAACGAAGCTTTGGAGGGAGAGAGAAGGAAGGTTTGAATATGTGAGGGTTCTTCTTTGGTAGTCCCAGATGTTGTTTGATGATAATGTTGTGATGTTTGATGTTGTTTTGATGATGATGTTGTGATGTAAAAAAGGACTAAATGGTTTACAAGAAAACATTTAGAACTAGATGGAGTAACATTTTTTAATATGGGATTTATGAGTAATTTTTCCTTAAGTTTTCCAATTATTTTGGCACCATGAAATAAAGAATGGACTTGAATTAAAGACTGGCATGCTAAATGACAAGGAGAGTAGGGGTGCAACTCAGCCAAATTGAGAGGTTGTTTAAGTTTAATTTAAATTGTGATGAGAGTTGTCCAGGCCACTTAAATCCAAATTGTAACCTAAGGTTGTTTGCCCAGTTAAATTTGAATTGCCTGAATTACACATAAATTTCAAATTATTTTTTTAGTGCAGCTAAATTAATTAATTTGTTAAAATTAGACCATTTATAATTTTTTTTAATAAAATTATTAATAATATTAAAACAAATAATTTATATAATGTATGTGAGATACCTTTATGATGGTCTTTGCAATTTATGAGTGAGAAAAAATAAATAAATTTATAATGTGTTACTTATGTATATAATATATATTCAATATGATCTAACAATCTAAATTATTTTAATATTATCTAATGACTAATAATTTATATGTATATTCAATATTTTTATATATTTATATATATAATTCGGAATTCGGATTGCTCAGATTGTTTAATATCTTTGCCCAAGCCTGTCGGAATTTAATTCGAACTTTTGAATTTTTGTTTAAGCCCATACCAAATTTAAAAATATTTTGCCTAAACTCTAATAAATTTTGGGCTAGGGTTGGATTGATCCCGCTCAAATTACATCCTAATGAAGAGTATGGGTTTGTTTTGAAGGATTAGGATGTGGGATTGGACTATTAGTCCCACCGAACT